AGGAATTTTACTGCCTTAATGTTACAACCCTAATTTTTAGAGGGTTGTGGCCAGGCCCTAGAGCCAGTAGATGCATTTAATATTTCTTACCTAAAACTTAATTGTTTTGCAGAGTCCAGTAGATAAACCAGCAGAAGATAAAGCTTGAATACTCTTTGAAAATTTTGGGGTTTTTGTATGACCTACAAAAAGTTATTCCTTCTTGGAATGTGTGGAAATTTAGTATTTTTCTCAGCTGTAAATTGCTTTGCTTTTGATCTTGCAATGTTTAGACACTTCACACACATTAATAGTAGTTGCATTATCAGAGTTGATTTGAGTCATGAGACAGCATGGTGTGAAATGATTGTCTGTTCTTTGCTATGAGCAATCAGCTAAAACAGGATGACATCTGAACATGTCAAAATAACATTTGTTGCTTTATTAAAGGATTACAATATTACAGGGGTAATCTAATATATTAAAAACCCTACTTTCAGTTATGTACAACACTTGCTACATCACAAGTCAGTTTAATGCACATCATATTGTTGTAAAGAAGTGATGAGGTAATAAGGGAAAAAGTGTGCAAGCCCATGCACACAAACGCACAGTAAATATCTTACAGGCTTACTGAAAAATACATTGAACTTCTAGAGGCTTTTGTTCTCCCTCTTATATGCATTCTTTAACTTACATTTTTCATAGTAGTTGCTGTTTTGAAATGGGTGTTATAACAATCTGTTCTAGAAACCTACTTCAGAAGAATATAAGAATTGTCCCAGTCCATATTTCGTAGTTGCGACTGACCTCTAAATATAGATGAGTAAATCTGTTTGATAATTTGACAGTAATATGTTATAATTGTGAAATATGGTAAATACAACTTCTTTTTGGCTACATGTAACTTCTTTATATAATTTTCATCTACTGGCTAAAGATATTAAATAGCTTATATATTGGTATCCATCATTTGCCTGCAAAGTTGGATAGTCCCTTTAATTTATATCCAGCCATTTCTGATTACAGAGGCTATGCAGCAGGTAATGACTAAAGTCAGGTACAAAATACTATGAGAGTTGTTGTATAGTATGACATGTTGATAATACAACATGTTATATCTGTTGTAAATCTGGATTAATTTCCATATACAGGCAGCTACTTCATTTTAGTAAGAAAAATCATTAGTGTTTTTATTCTAAAATATTTGAATCAATTCTAATTTATAGGAGCAGATTATTAAAATGGTCAAAGTGAAGGGGAAAGACTGGATTTATCACAACAGTAATGGTTTGAGTATCTGCTCTCAAAATCAAATTATATCATACTAACTTTATTCATGGTAGTCAACAAGTATTAAATCAGAATAATCACACTAATGTACATATACCAGCTACACAGTTCAAAGGATATGGTTTCCTGTGTCAAATGATTGGTCATAATAATAAAAAAACTCTTGCTGTACAGTTTGTAATATTTCCTGTATTTGAGAATATTTATACATAATAGAATATACAAAAATACTTAAATGTTGTGGCAGTATTTTTACCATTCAAACTTAATTTACAGGGAATAAAAAACAAAGTTTATCTACAGTCCATCTAAACTGCCAGTTCTAAAAGGCTTAATATAACTACTTCTAGTACCAAGAGGTGTTCTGAATGTTATGTCATGTCAGTTCCTTGTTTTTTCTTCAGCTTTTTTTTCCTGGAATGACTCTTGGAAATACAGTGTACAAGCCCTCACATCTTAGTAATAAATGTACAGTATCTTACATTCCTCATTTCTGAAAAGATAATTCCAGGTAGTAACATCATAGCTTTATATGATTTTTTAGAACAAGCAAACCAAGAGAAGCATTATTTCAGTGGAATGTGTTGGGATTAGGTCTTATCATCATAACAACTTTCTTTAGTGAATATGATCCCCCCCGGAATTCAGCCCAGTAAACACCATCCTGATAGCGACTGCGGTAGTGTCCTCCACGGTACCAAACTCCATTGAGATTTGAATGAGCACATGCATTGTACCACCATCCTCCCTTCTGGTAATGAGCACAATTACCTGCAAAAGAAAGCTCTGATTCAATCTTAGGAGTAAATGAAAAATATTAGAGCAAGCAAGCAAGCTAAGCACAAAAGAAATTTTTTTTTTTTTTTTTAAACTGTGTGTTTAACATGTAGATACCGTGTAGTACAAGGTGAATGTAGGCTTCTTCAGGAACCAGCTCTGTAATTAGGTTCTACAGATAGACTCGTTATTGTTACTCTCCCTTGCTGGGAAGTTTGCATTATTTTCTCAAATAATGCCCCCCCCCCCGCATATTTTACAGACCCTTGTTTAGTGTAAATGATAAATATTTCAATGAGAATTTTTGTTTCAGTGTTAGTACATATAAGGTTTGACACATCAGTTTGTGCTTCATAAGTTACTAATTGACAAATCTCTAAAAATGTAGGGTTTTTTGTTTGTGTATATGACCATAAGTATTCTTCCTTTTTAAAAAAAAAGGGTGGGGGGGGAAGGAGGGGTGGAAGGGCAAAAAGAGCAAGGCAGCTGAAAGGGACCTTGTACCTGTGTATACATCATGGTCCCGATCCAGCGTGGTGAACTGTTTACCATTGTGCCAAGTGAAAGAATCTCCTGCATTGCCATTGTAGCGTCCCAATCTCAACTTGTAATATTCACTTTCTGGTTCCAGTCTGAAGCTAGCATACTCAGCAAATACTTTTCGTCCTGACCAGTCTTCCATTGTTATGAGCAGTTTGTAGTTGCCTTGATTTGTTAACCAATAAATATTTTCTAATCCAAGCCAATATTCTCCATCTATATTACCAAATCCTTGCTGTAAAGGAAGCAAGAGAAGCATGTTAATATTGTGCATCTGTTTTAGTGATAAATCTGAGTATATTTTCAAGTAGAAAACCACAATAACTCATTTTATAAAGATTTCCTCTTCTGGAAGGGTAAACACACAAGTTCCTTTTCAAGTAGGCTGTTGACTGGACTCTAAAGTAACCCTTTAAATCAACTTTACCAGTAATTTTTACGGGGTAGAAAACATTAAACTGCTCACTTGTCCTAACCTTGTATGTCTCCCAGTTCCTGAAAAAGTTGACAGACCCATCCAGCCGTCTCTGAATGACTGTCCAGCCACCAGGGTCATGTCGTTGATCACACCAGACCTGCATAAGCTGGTTTGTGTTTTCTGGTTTTACAAGATAGATGGAGCTTGTATCATGGCCGTCTTCTAACGCTTGTAGACAGTCTCTCCAGGGCCCTGTGTCAAAACAGAAGGACTCTGCATCAAAATGCAATTGAGCATATCTTTAATGCAGGGTGGTATTTGAATTGGCAGCTTTTCACAGTAGATTTACTTCTGCTGAATAGTGTGTTTGTTATTCCTTTTACTGAAGGTACAGTGCCCACTAAGTGTTTTCAGATTTGTTTGTTGTGACTTTATTGCTGGAACACTTCACAATGAATTACTGATAAAGGTAGATTTTTTTTTAAAAAATATTTTAAGGCAGCTGGACTTACAACATTGATTATATCTTCAAATAAACTACATATGATTGATTCCATAGGTAAGTATTAATATTAATAATTTCCTTTAGGAAAAAAAAAAGGTACGTTTGAATTTTGTTTCTGTCTTTGAGAAATTCAGCATTCTAGATCCCCAAAAACGTCATTGGTGCAGACATTAACAATGGAACCAACAACATAAATTAAGAATGTGGGTGTTACTGTTGTCCCCTTAATAAATGATAATAGAAAGTAGGAATTTGGATTTGTAACATGGAGTGCTTGCTTTATATAGTGAGAGAAATTTTAGATAAATGAGAAGACTGTTAAAATACTTTGCATTCACAGAACTTAGCAGTAATGCTCTCCTATTTTCAAAAGAGTGCATTTTTTTCCTTGAGTTTAGTAGAGTCCAAAAAAAGCTTACTCTTTTTGAAAGTATCTTAACATTCATGATTTTTAAAGACAATTTTTCCAATGGGAAGATAGTTAGATTCCATTTTAAGTAGTATTGAGAAATTTAGATATAAATGATTTAGGAGTCTGTGCTGATATCTGCAGATGGACTCCCCCAGCTGCTTTGCTGCCTATGTGGAAGAGTGAAATCAACAAGAATCCTCACGATTAGAGATTAGAGACCATTGATTGATTCTCTTTTTTTTTTTTTTTTTTTTTAATTCCCTCCAACACACACATTGAAGGAGGAAGGCTTGTCAGATCTTCTCGTGAGGAGTCTTACTGAAGCTTATGTTGCTATTGAGTAATTTCTGTTTTAAATTATTTCGGTTCATCTACCCTTTTTCATAATTCACTGTCCAACACCAGTAATGGTAGAGCTACCCTTGTACTCAGTAAATGAGTTGGTAATAAATTAGTTTTATAAAAACAACATCAGCATTTTGGGGGGTTGGGATTTTTTGGTCTTTCTAACTAGTTAATCAAAAAGTCTGTACCAAGAGGCAATCCAAGTTTTTGGTCTGTGGCCACGCTGTGGTGATGGTGTTTCCATAGTCATATTCACAGACCATACCATACCTGGAGCGCTGCTTCTAAGCCCTGTCTCCATTTCTGTTTTGAGTAACTCTTCAGATTTCTGACAATTTAGATGTAAATGCACTGTTCTGTGACACGGTTGCATGGCTTATTATGAGAGATGGAAGAAGACAAATGTAATGAATGCTGGTAATTTAAATTGCTCTCGTTTATTTTATCACAATGTGTACGTAGTGACTCTTATTAAAAACAAAAAAGAACATGTCAGTTCAAAGTCATTATTGAAGAAACTCCTGAAATAGTCAACCACAGATCTTTGATCTTGTCTTCATAAAAATAAATATATAGCAGTATGTGATGTAATATCTACAGCTTTGTAATGTTGCAGTTTCTTTCTAGGCCATGTGGCAACAGTGCCCTGCTGCATGTGATTCTTTTCTCTGAAAGTACTTTAAGATGAACTATTATAAATTTTCAAGCAGAATTTGCTACTATTTTTCCATGACACAGGTGTGTTTTTGTCAGATACTAACTTTCCAAAATTTTGGCTAGGGTGTATAGTCTGAGATTTGTCATCTGGCATCAGAAATGAAGGAGAACATACTGAAGATAACTGCCCCCAGATCTCTGTAAGACACCATGGTTAACTCTGCCTCATGAAAAAAAATACTTAAGGGTTTTTTATGGTTTATTTATGTGAGGCTCTTTCCTTGTACTTTGTAGCAGCTTAATTTAAACACCTTTAGTAAGAAACCTTTTTGATGCTTTCTGGAAATACATACGAACTGTATATCAACCAGAACTCCATCCCCGTAGGCACTGAGACCTTCAAATATCTCTAAAAGTGATACAAAATTGGTATTACAAGTTGATTCTTATTCAAGGTGATGATACATGATTCAGATTTGTTAACTGCTTGTTCTACTACTGTTAGCATATTTTCTATCAATTGGTGGACTTTTTTTCAATATCACATTTGCCACCTTTCATTCCTCACATACTAAGGCAATTTCTGGTGAGAGATTACACAGTAGTTAATAGTTTCATATTCAGTTTCCTTTAGAACTCTTGGGGCATGGGCTTTTCTCTTCACGGTTTGTTAGTATTCACTTCTTTCATTGGCTTTATAACCTCTTCTACCAACATTTCCGTTTGAGATAAATCCTGGAGAGTATCCTCCTTGCCACTAACCTAGTCAACACAGGAACCTCGAAGTGTCCCCTCAGTGAATACTCATATCAAAATTAGTTTAGATTTTCTACTGTTGCTAATTTCTCTATGTATATCTTTTTTTTTTTTCTATAAACTTTTAGTCAGACTTCCTGTTCCTGGTGTGTTAGAAATCAGGTTTATTATGCCTTTTGTTCCTTTGCAAGTTGTTCTTAAGATTTTAATGTGTCCAACTTTAACACCACAGAGAGTATGTTCTTTATTTATTTCCTGATTTGGACATGACTTTGGTGCTTTGATTCTTATAATAATGCTCTTATACCAAACTGCTTAACCATGACAAGATTTCCTGGTCTTCTCAAAGTGGTTTTTTTTGTTGTTGTTTTTGGTTTTTGATGAATGGATAGTTCTGAATTTTACAGTAGGATATCTTTAGTCTCTGTGATACTTGAAAACCTTACCTTTTCAGTTAACACTTCTAGTTTATGCATTGCTATTATAATACTCTGCTATTTTGTGTCATTTGTGTCTCCCAAGTTTCTGATAGGCTGTTATATCAAATCTTGCTGACATCCCAATCTCAACTTTCTAGTTCTTGGATCTTCTGTATTCTTTTGTTTTGTTTTGTTGTCATTGTTTAAATGGTAGTATTTGTTTAGAAACATATATATGTTTGACTTGGCCTAGCGTATGTATATTGGCCTACTATTTCTGTGCCCTGTTTAAAGAATCTGTTTTTCAGATTACATGTCGGCATTTCTGACTTGAATTTTGTCCACTGCTCCTATCCAAAGATTTTACTTGATGGTACAGAATCTGCATGACTTCACCTAAAGGATATATCAGTTTAAACCATCTGCTTCATTAAGCTATAATTATCAGTATATATTGTCTGTCTTATTTATGTTATTATCGTAGAATCATAGAATGGTTTGGTTGGAAAGGACCTTAAAGATCATTGAGTTCCAACCCCCCTGCCACAGGCAGGGACACCTTCCAGCAGACCAGGTTGCTCAAAGCCCCATCCAGCCTGGCCTTGAACACTTACAGGGATGGGGCAGCCACAGCTTCTCTGGGCAACCTCT